TTTTTTTTTTTACCAGGGATGGAACCCAGGAGCACTTAACTACTGAGCCACATCCCCAGTCCTATTTTGTGTTTTTATTTAGAGACAGGGTCTCGATAAGTTGCTGAGGCTGACTTTGAACTCGCGAACTTCCTGCCTCAGCCTCCTGAGCTGCTGGGATGACAGGCGGGGGGGGGGGAACCATAGCCGCAGATGCCTCTGGAAGCCCTCTTGAAATTACAAAAAAAATTCACAAAGAGTGAATTCAACTGAAAACCCAGCCCACTGAGAGGAGGAATGGAGAAAGAAAAGGGTCACAACATCATCGGGTGACCTGCAGAAACCATGCTTGAACCCTTTAGTTTGGGCGTGTCATAAATGTCCTTACTTAAGCCAGTTTGCCCTGGGCTTCTGTGATTTGCCTCAGGTACAGGAGGCACCCTGACTTGGGATGACGGTGGGTGGGCTGCAGAATCAGGCACCTTGGTGTTGAATCCCCCTCCCCCTCCTCGGGATCCGATGGGATTAAATGAGATGGCATTTGTGCAATACTTAGCACAGCACCCAGCACACTCTGGGGCAAGGAATGTCGCATTGCACGTGTGGATGTGTGGGTGTGTGTGTGTGTGTGTGTGTGTGTGTGTGTGTTAATAAAATTAAAGCTGAGGGCATGCTGCAAGTTTCAGCTCAGCCATTAGTGGGCCATGATCCTGGGAGGGCTCTTGGGGAGGGGTCTATCATTGGTCACTGCAGCTCTGAGTCCCTGAGCTGGGTTTGTGTGTGAGGTTTTTGTTTTAGGGGTGGGTGGCTACTGGGGATTGAACTCAGGGGCACTCGATGAGCCCCATCCCAGCCCTATTTTGTATTTTATTTAGAGACAGGGTCTCACTGAGTGGCTTAGGGCTTCACTTTTGCTGGGGCTGGCTTTGAACTCCTGATCCTCCTGCCTCAGCCTCCCCAGCTGCTGGGATGACAGGCACACGCCACCGCACCTGGCTGGGTGTTGGGTTTTTGAAAATAGATGGTTTGGTTGCTATTGTCCCTACCATGAATGCAGGGGCCTTGGCTAAGCTGGGAGCCCTGGGTTGCAATCCAAATACCTGCACTGAGGTCATATCCTCATGAATCCCCGTCGTCACCTTCCCAGGGTGTTGTAAGAGGTGGGATGCTGGTCCTCTGATCTTGTGGGATCTAGGGTTCTCTGGCTCACTTCTAGTCCTACCCTCCCACCTCTACTTGGGATGGAACCTAGGACCCAGGAGCAGTTAACCACTGAGCCACATCCCCAGCTTTTTAAATTTTTTTTTTTTTTTAATTTTGAGACAGGGTCTTGCTCAATTGCTGAGGCTGCCTTTGAACTTGTGATCCTCCTGCCACAGCCTCCCTAGTCACTGGGATTACAGACATGCCCCATAACACCAGGCTGGTCCTATACTTCTCTCTCCCTCTTGGCTCTGACTGCCTCTGGGTCCCCTCCACCAGAGACATGTGCCTCTCTCTCTTCTTAAAGTGACCCGACATACATTTCACAGTAAATACTATTTTGAGAGACAAAACCAGAAATGAGAGTTGTCTAGGGGTGACTTTCACTTTCCGCCATGTTCCTGGAGTCCCTTGGGTGAGAAAACACAAAGCCTGGTTTTCTTCTTAGAGTAAGGGAGGAGAAAAATCTATTGGGAACAAAATTAGAATTAATATCTCAGTAAACGATATTGCCACAGTCTGAATGTGTTTATTTTTTTTTTAGTTTTATTATTTAAGACAGTAGTTGGGAATGTGCTAACAGTTAACCATGATAAACGAAAACTTTGGCTCAAATTTGAGACCTCTAAGTGCAACGTCTGGCACCTACTGCATCCATGACAGATAATAATGTTCTCCCTGGATTTTCACTAAGAACCTGGCGAGGTATGCGATATCTAAGGGTTGATCACCTCCTAAACCAATACTGTAAATTTCAGAATTACATGTAGAGTAGAACAACACTGTTTTTTGTTTTAATCAAGCACATAGGCTGCAATCATATGTAGATTCTATAGAAAAAGGAAACATTTAGGAAAACATCTAGAAGGATACACTCCAGACTCACTGAACAGGAGTTAAAAAAGGAAGACAAGAATTGGTGGCAAAAGTTGAAAGGGAATTTTAACCTTATTTGTTCTTTTTAACTTTAAAAAAAGAGAGAGAGAATCATTCATGTGTGCGCATGAAATAAATTTCTAACACGTTGATTTACAATTGATCAAAAGGAAAAGTGGATAGGAAAAGAGTCAAGCATCCCCAAATAAGGGTATCCAAAAAGCAACCTTTGCTTTGCTTTTTGACTCTTAGGTGTCTAATGTTGGGTTTTGATAACGGCATGGTTGCTTTGGCATGAGAAAGATTCAGGGAGTCCCCTTTAAAACTTAAGTTGAATCCCAGCTTAAATACCAAAGATCTTTACCTTAGTGGGTCCACTTCATCTCTCCAACAAACTCTGGGCGAACCTGAGATTGCAACTTGGAATAAAAAAGGGGAATGATGTGGGCCGTGGGGTGAGAGGTGTTCAGGAATCTTGATGGAAAGGGTAGCCAGATGCTGGGGGCAGATTCCACTCTCTTGACCCTCCAAAGACCTTCAGATTTCCTCTCACGGAGCACATTTGAAAGATTTCATTTATCTAACTGAACATAGCCTTTAAAAGAATTCATCTTCTCTTCCGTTGTCTTATCTGACATTACTGTTCGTCATTGCCGGGAAACAGAAAGGTGGAGTTGAGAGGAGCAACCCTACAAAGCTAACTTCCAACAGTAAAAACAGAGCCAAGAGCTCGCTGGGGGAACCGACGTGGTCCTGAGTGGCTGCCCCTTGGTGTTCTTGAGTAGCTCCTTTTACCCCGCTAGCTCTTACCTCCCTTAAGAACTGGTTGCAGATTGAGGAAGATAGTTATTTGTGAACAGATTGGAACACCACTTTTGCTTTTATGTCGTAGGCACTTGGTGAACCTTCGGGTTATTTTATCATAATAGTAGCTATGATTTCTGTGTACCCGGCCAGAGACCACCCACTGAATCACTCAACTTCTTTCTTTCTTTTTTTTTTTTTACCAGGGATGGAACCCAGGAGCACTTAACTACTGAGCCACATCCCCAGTCCTATTTTGTGTTTTTATTTAGAGACAGGGTCTCGATAAGTTGCTGAGGCTGACTTTGAACTCGCGAACTTCCTGCCTCAGCCTCCTGAGCTGCTGGGATGACAGGCGTGCACCAGAATCTTTTCGTGGAGGAAAAAAAAAAAGCCCTCTTTTGAAGACCATGGATCAAGAACTTCTGGGTAAACAATTTCCCTTCCCTGAGACTCCCTATTCATTTTTTCTTTTAGAATGTTTTCTCCATAGCACGTTTCACCATCTAGCCCACTGTGTGTGGGCACTCATCCATTCTGTTGATGATGATCTATCTTCAGTCACTTGTCATTGACACCACAGGTCCACAGGTAGCCTGGACCCGCCTTCCTCTCAAATCCTGTCCACCCTCTTCACTGCCACCAGGGGGCTCTTTTCATGGTACTGTAGCTGGTCCTTGTCACACATGTCACACATGTCACACATGTCACACATGTGGTCTGTTGATGGCTGATCTCTCTAAGACCTGCTTGGATGCCAACCGTCTGGCCAGCTCACATGTTTATACCAGTTTGGATATTCTTGGCAATTTTTTTCTTTTTTTCTTTTTTTGTGTGTATGTAGTACTGGGGATTAAACCCAGGGCGTCACACGTGCTAGGCAAGCGCTCTACCACTAAGCCACATCCCCAGCCCTATTCCTGGCAATTTTTAAAATGTCAGGATATATACCTCCATGGAGCTCAACCCATGTAGAAAATCACTGAATCCCATGCAGAGTCCAGAGACAGAGTCAACTTCAAGTCTGATCCGATCCGGAGGCTCTGGATCAACTTGCCTTGCCTTGGTCCGAGAGAGGTGTCACTCACAGGCTCACAGGGAGAAAGGATCTTACTGTGTTGTCCTGGCTGCTTCTCTCAACAGTGTCGGGAAGAGGAGAGACCAGTGCATCTTGAGGCTCTGTCTGCAAGGTCACCAGCCCACGTCTAATTTCCCTCCAGGCTTTGCAGAACTGATTTGGGTCTTTGCTCAATCTTAAACCCATCTTGTCTGCAGAAGAACGCCATTCTCTGATGGATCCTCGTCTGGATTTCTGAATCAATCTCCAACACAGAGGATGAAATATAATGGACATTTCTCCATTGGGATCCACTCTTGTTCTGCTTTCCTGAAGCGGATGGGCAACACTTCCAGAGGCTCTAGAATGGTGGTGAGGAGGTGGATACAGCCTGCCCCTCACCCTGGACCTCACAGCATCCCTTCAAACGAGCACCACAGTGTTCATCTGAACAAACGTGAATCAATGAGTCAGTAGGGTGTCACCCGCTAAGGAAGGAAGCCAGGTGGAAGTGCCTCTATCGGCATTGCTTCCTGAGAGTCGTTCTGACCTGGGTGGTAGGGTCGGGCAGGATCTTCAGCACTTAGAGTAAGGGAGTCTGGCGAGGAGGTCAGCCTTCATCCTCTGGTCCTGCAGTCATTCACACGTTCACTGGTCTCCACCCCCACGGACTTTGCTCAGAGGTAAGATGTGGTCTATGACGTCAAGGAAGCAGGACGGGGAAAAATCAGATAATCAGGGTTGGGGAGGTGGCTCGGTGGTGGAGCGCTTGCCTAACCTGCGTGGGGACCTGGGCTGGATCCCCAGCATGGCAAAGCCAAACAAAACCAAACACCCGTACACACAGCAGCCACGGCCGAACACCCCAGGTAATTACATCAGTAGCTAATTATTCAGATGCTACCTCCTCTGCTAAGGAGGCCCTCGCCAACCACCCTCCAGGGCGGGCTCCGAGGAGACCCAAGTCTCTCCCTCTTCTGAGATCCTGGGGGTCCCTTGAGCTAGTGCTAGCAGGAATGCTTGTTCCAAGTGCCATGCATTGGCTCATGTCAGCCTCCCACAGCCCTGGGAGGTGGGCCCTGGGCCAGGCTAAAAGCGTAAAAGGATGCTTTTAAAGGCCAGGATAAGTCCCTGGCCCAAGGACACAGAACTACGGAGTGGGAGAGCTGAGATCGGAACCAGCTGGTCCTACCCACTGCAGAACTCGGACAACTCCACGGGCCACAAGCTGGGCCCATCGCCACCCTCGTCCCCATTTGACAGATGAGAAGACTGAGGCGCAGGGCAGGATTTTGCCAAAGGCCACAGGGTTTGGGAGTGCCATCGGAATGCAGGGAAGATGGCAGAGGCTTTGCTTTCCAACAGGACCCCCTACCACCCCCTGCAGAGACCCCTGTCAGGAGTCAATCATACTGGGTACAGTTATTCGCTGCCTGCCTCTGATCACCGGGTACACAGGCGCCTCTGAGGGACAAGATCAGGCCCGTTTCTATTTCTTCAGCTCCAGCTCTGACCCGCCAGTCGATCTGCTATGCAAATGTTTGTTGAGTGAACCCAACGACTGGTAACCGGATGAATAAATGAATGGATTAATAATTACGAGTGGAGCTTCCAGACACAGGGCGTGGCCCGTCACGAGGAGGCTTTAGACATCCTCTTGGCACATTGAGGTTGCGCGTGAGCCTCCGTCCTCCAGCCTCAGGAAGAAACAAAACCCTCGAAAAGGGAGAAAGAAAACGGGGCGTCACAAGGATTCCGGACCGGATTCCATGACGTCACTCCAAGTTGGATGTCTGGCCTGGTAAACAAAAGCTCTTGTGACATGGCCTCTGGCCAGGCTGGCCACTGGGCCCCCGTGTGGGGGAGGCTGTTAAAGTGAACCACACAGCCCCGGCCTCCACCCGAGCCTCCTCCACCCAGGCGCCTCTGCAGTCAGCAGGTATCTCATCCAAGGGAAAACCAGGACAGGAAATCATGTTGCCATGGAGACCAGAGAGGCCCTTCCAGACACAGGGGGAAAATAAACACGTTCTGGTTGGACTTAACCCCCGAAAAGCCAGGGTGGCCTCCTCTCCGCGTCTGAGAGGTTCCGGCTTTCACCACAAAGGTTCAGTGGCCTGACCCCCGAGGACCCCCGAGGCCACTCCAGGCCCTGCAGAGTCCCGGGGACAGGGTCACTCCAGGGCCCAAAGAAGAAATCATTTTATGCTTCAACTTAAGGTCTTCTCAGGCTCCTTTGCAGCAACGATGACGGGGCTAACATTTATCTTGTGCTTGCTGTATACCAGGCACGTTTGCACATACTTTAGACGGATGAACTCGTTCACAACTCTCACAACGATCCAATGGGGGAAGTCCTCGTTGTTATTATAACACCCATTTTATCGATGGGGAAACGGAGACAAGGTGAGAGAAAATGAGTCACTCAAGGGCACGGGGTGGTTGGTAGTGGCACCAAAATTTAAGGTACTTTGAGAATATGGGGGGCAACAGATCACTGCACAGCCTGACCCTGGGGCAAGTTAATGAATATCCCCCAGCCTCAGTTTCCCCACTGGTAATATAAACCTCTACCTTGAAAGACTGTTATGGGATTGAATTGGATGTACATTTATGGAGCACTTATGGTATGCGAAGCACTATGTTGAGCCCTAGAATTACGAAGGGAAAGAGACAAACGTGGTCCCAGGACCATGCAGCTTAGGGACAAACAGGAGTTTCTGGGACAGAGGAGGCCCCCCCCCCAGGAGGGAAGGAGTTCTAGCTCCTTAGAAGAAGAGGAAGGAAGACAGATAGGCTGAAATTCCCAGAGAAGGAGGCAGCAGCTGGATCGCCCAGGGGGGAAAGGGAAACTGATTTCTAAATGGAAAAGGTAGATTTTGTTCCCAGACCTGTCTCAGCCGAAGAAGAGAAGAAAGTCCAGTTTGTGGACAATTGCTACAGACTCCCTTCTGAGGGCAGGAAACCAGACCAGGGGCGGGCTATTGGTACTCTGAGGGTCAAGACTGGCCTGCCACCTGCTTTGGTATGGCCTGGCATTAAGAATGGCCTTTGCATTTAAAAAAAAATTTTTTTAATATATTATTTTTTTAGTTGCTAATCGACCTTTATTTATTTTATATGTGATGCTGAGAATCGAACCCGGGGCCTCACACATGCTAGGCAAGTACTCTACCACCGAGCCCCAGCCCCAGCCCCAGCCCTGGCCTTTACATTCTGAAATCACTGAGAAAGAATCAGAGAATACTATTTCATGCCCTGGGGAAAGTAGGTGAGAGTCCAGTCTCAGTGTCCATCGGTAAAGTTTTATTGACACACAGCCACCTCCCCTTCATTTGGGAACCCTCTATGGCAGCTTGTGTGGCCCAAGGGCAGAGCTGAATGGTTGCAACAGGCATCCCGTCCACAGAGCTGAGAATATTTACTTCCTGGCCCTGAGCTCAAGGTGGGGGGGCCTGGGCAAGATGCCTGGGTTTGGGGTTCAGAATCTAATTAAGGAGAGAGTTTAGGTGAAGACCCTTGGACGGGAAGCGCATCAAGGAGGCAGGATCTCGGCACTGATACCCATGACACCATCACACCCGAGAGGGCTCGCTCGCTCTGCCCCGGGGGCTCTGCATATCGGACCTATGAAGTCCTCATAGCAATCATTTTGATGATAATACAGGTATCATCATTTTACAGACGAGGAAACTGAGATAAGGAACTTGCCCCCAAAAGGAAGTGACAGACCCAGGATTTGCACTCAGTGGTCTGTTTGCCTCCAAAATCTGCACTTTGGGCACCGTCCCCTGCCACCTCCGCGGGGGCTGGCTGAAGTTGGAGCTGCCCAGCTGCGACTCTTCGGCTGGCTCTTACCTGAGCTGCCATCTCACGTGGCATAAAAGCTGGAGGAGAGTCTGATCCTGCCTCCAGAACGGTGTTGGGGAATCTCAGAGTCTGATCGAGTGTCTGTGCCAGTCACGTGATGTCCTGGCCCTCGGACCCAAGCTCCGTAGCACTTAAGGGCACAGGGTTTGGAACCTCCAAGATTAGCTGCGTGACTTCAGGCAAATCCATGAAGTCCTCAAGCCTCAGTTTCCGTGAAGGTACCATTGGAGGATGCATTTATTTAGCACTTAGTGTGTTCTGTAAGCCCTGTGCCTTGGGAGGCTGGGTGTGAGGTCTGTCCCTTGCCACTCTGGCTTCCCATAGATTTTTTGGGGGGTGGAGGGGACCTGGGATTGAACTCAGGGACACTTAACCCCTGAGCCCCATCCCTAGCCCTATTTTGTATTTTATTTAGAGACAGGGTCTCACTGGGTTGCTTAGCGCCTGGCTGTTGCCGAGGCTGGCTTTGAACCTGCAGTCCTCCTGCCTCAGCCTCCTGAGCTGCGGAGATGACAGGTATTTGCCACCATGTCCGGCTTCCTATAGATTTTGACCAATAAGAAGCCCCAGAAGGCAATTAGGGGAGGGAGGAGGGTGAGGTTGGGGCACTTCTTTCCTGGTGACTCTGAGCACTAGGCGCCTGCCTCCATGGACCTCTTAGGTGGTCCTCCCTACGTAGGCTTCTTCTCAGGCCCCAGGTTACAGTGGCCACTGTTCCCCAGGCCCCTGGGGACTAGGCTGGTAAGAGAACCCATTGTGATTAGAGTTTGTGGGTCCTTGGAGTTTTCTGAAACCTGCCCTCCCTTAGTAAAGACTCTTTCTACTAAACGCTCCTTCAATGGCCTCGTTAGAGAGGACCTTCTCTTTCCTGCTGGAACCCTAACTGATGCACTCTTCATTTAGATTAATTTCCCAGGCACAGCTGGTGGGCTCCATGCATTCCGCTCAATCTCACAGAACTGCTACTTCCCAGTCCCGGAGACAATAGTTATAGTTGAAAATCCCACCACAGCTTATGACCGAGATGTACCCCCTCCCATACAATTCCCAAGGCACAGGGACGTGGGTCTTTTCATACACTGATGGGGAGGAATTCAATATCTTCCTGCCTAAATGCAGAGGACACTCGGCAATATTATTTCAAAAATTTAAAATAGGCAACCATCTGGACCCAGCAATGTAATCTTTAGGTACTCATCACAAGGAAACAATCAAATTAATGTGAAAATAGTTGTGCATTGTGTTGGAATCAAAATAATTGTCTAATAGGAGTTGATTAGTTAATTGGATTCACCCACTGGCTAGTTTTTGAATGCTTCAAGCTCAGCAAGCTCTAAGGAGAAAGTCATAAGTAAGTCTAAGGAAGCTCTGTTTTCATAGAACTTGCATTTGAGCAGTTGGATTAATTACAACACAGACATACAATGGAATAGCATGCAACTGTGCAAAATATTAATAGTTCCATATATGTGATTACAGAGAGATGGCCATGATGTATTAGGCTCAAGAACAATAAGTACTATAAAATCTCAATTTTACCTGCTGGATTTAAAAAAATATGGAAAAATATAAAACCAACTTTTAATAGTGATTAATTGGGGAGATAGGGCTATCACAGACTTTTCTATTTCATATGGTTCTGTATCATTTCAGTCTTATAGGAATAAACTAATAAAAAAAGGATCTTTTCATTTTGAGCCATTAAAGCTTGATGCCTGTTTCCTTTCTACTGAAGTAATATTTACCTTTTTAATTACAAAACTTACACATAAATATATTCTTGGTATGAAAGTTTCAAGAATCGTAGATAAAGTTTAAATCCTTTCTAAGCATCTTGAGGAAATCATTGCTGTTAGCTCATATGTTTATCTCCAGATTTATTTCCATGCATTCATACACATTTATAAGAAGCTGTAGAAGATACACTGTTATCCAGGTGGTACATGCCTGTAATCCCAGCAGGCTGAAGCAGGAGGATTCCAAGTTCAAGGTCATCTTGGAAAACTTAATGAGATGCGTCTGTCTCAAAATAAAAGAATAGAAAATAAAAAAGACTGGTAGTTCAGTGGTAGAGCACCTCTGGGTTCAATCCCCAACACCACAAAAATGAATACTGTTTTGTTTTTTTTTTAAGATTACATGAATGGTATTCTAGAATAGGTATTGTTCTCCACTTTGTAAGATCCGGTGTCATAGGGGCTGAGGATGCAGCTCAGTGATATAGCGGTAAAGCGTGTACTTAGCATATGCTAGGCCCTGAGTTCAATCCCCAGCACCCACCTCCAAAAAACGTCCAATGTCTTTTGTTTTGGCGGGAAGGGGTTACTGGGGATTAAACTTTGGGGCACTCGACCACTGAGCCCCATCCCCAGCCCTATTTTGTATTTGTTTAGAGACAGGGTCTCACTGAGCTGCTTAGAGCCTCGCCATTGCTGAGGCTGGCTTTGAACTCCCTAACCTCCTACCTCAGCCTCCTTAGCCGCTGGAATTACAGGCACGCACCACTGCGTATAGTAATCCAATGTCTTAAAAAACCTCTTCACATTAATATTTATAGGTCAAGTTGGTGTCTCTGAAGCACTCCACAGTTTTGTAGCGTGGATATAAAGTAGCTTACCACAGGCCACTAGAAGTTTAGGGCTTGCATTATAAACTGAGCCCTAGGCCGTGTATTAATTATCTGTGTCCCCATAACAAATTATCGCAGAATTTAGCAGCTTCAAACCACACCCATTTATTCTATCACGGTTCCTCACAATGCTGCGGTCAAGGTGTTGGCCAGGACCGTGGTCTCCTGTGGTGGGTGGAGTCAGGAAGAGTCCACTTCTAAACTCACCCACAGGCTAGTTGGCCGACCTCTGTGCTAGCCGTTGGCTGGAGGTCCCTGTCCATATCGGTCTTTCAGAGGACAGCTCCCAGCACGGATTCTATCTCCCCTCCCCTACAGCTTCATATAAATGTGTGGAAATAAATCTGGAGATAAACATATCAGCACGCAAGAGAGGGGCACAAAAAATGAAAGCCAGTCTTTCGGTGACTTAGTAGAAAAGTGACACCTCATCATTTCTGCAGGTTCTATTCATGAGACCTGTTTCGCTCTACCCGGCCCCAATTCACCAGGAGGAGACACACGCGCACCAGAAGGCAAGAATCACCAGGTGGCATCTTGAAGGATAATCCCCCACAGAAAGAGAATCTTGCAGACCTATTCATTAATCCAAGAAACAGGCGTGGAGTCGTTACTTTGCTCCCCGGGTGACTCTTTCTAGACCTGGATGATACATTTAGCCAACAGGACAGAAAAAGGTCAAGGGCTTACAGAGTTGACGGTCCAGCAGAGACAAGTCAAGGCCACCAGACAGATCACGGGCATAAGGAACGAGACGGTGGTCATGCAATTCCTGAACCGTGACACAGGCACTCTGCACAGCTGGTGAGCGATTGGATGTGGCAGGTGAGGATCAGCTGCCGTGTGTGTTTCGGGGTTGGGCCGCGCGAGTGGATGGTGGTATCTTTCCCTGGGACAAAGAAAAAACTGGAAAGTGGGTAGGATCTGGAGAAGGATCATCAACGTAGTGTTGGGCATATTGAATGGAAGGAATTCATGGACCAGCAGCTGATGGCCAGAAGGTCATTGGCCGGAGAACCAGAAATCAGGATATTGCCAAAGGGTGCAAAAGGAGGTCATTTTTGATGGGAAGAGTTTGAGAGATGTAGAGTTGGAAAAAGAAAGCTGAGGAGTGGGAGAGAGAGAGAGAGAAAGAGAAAGAGAGAGAGAGAGAGAGAGCGCATGCGCGCACTAGCTTTTAAATCATTGCAGACTCTTTTTATCCTATTGACACATACATGCATTCGGAGGCATTATCTGAATTAAATGTCCACCGCTGAAGTTATTTTAGTATCTGGGAAGCTGCCAGCCCTCCCCATTTCCTTCAGCTGTAATGCATAGCTCCATTAGATGAGATGAACAGGATTATTTGGGACAAGTTGGGAAAAAAAAAAAAAAAGCCAAATAGGTAGAATCGAGGGTGATGCTCAGTCTCCTGGACTCTGATGGTGAAGCCGAGTCGTCTCCAGTGGACACTGGAAGGCAAACGGTGAGAGGGTGCGCCTTCCTGGATCCCCTGTAGCGCTCACATTCTCTCTTAGACACAGGACATCCTCTTTGGAGGCCACACTGCAGCCATGTCCATTAGCAACCTGAAATCTTAGGAAAGGGGGAAGCACCGTGGCGCTTCCTCTGTGCAAAACGTCTTTGCATACGACTTTTGCAATCCCCGTGGGTCATCTCTGCCCCATACACCCGTGGATTTTCTTTTTTCTCCTTGGGATCACAAATACGCCCCCCCCCATGGACGTGTTAGTGTCGGTTGGAGAATTTGAGCAGTTTCGACTGCGATGGTAAACTCTTCCATCTTTTCCATCCATGTCACACGATGGCTCACATCTAGACCAAGGCCCGTGGGTCCGTCAGCTTTTCACCACGGTGACCAAAAATACCTGACAAGAAGAACTTAGAGGAGGAGAAGTTCATTTGGGGTTTCGGAGGTTCAGTTCACGGTCGGTGACTGCACTGCTCCGAGCCCAAGATGAGGCAGAACGTCATGGCGGAAGGGAGTGGTGAGCAGAGCTACTTGGTTATGGTAGCCAGGGAGCAGAGAGAGAGAAAGGAGGGTGCCCAGAACAGAACCTAAACCCCCAAGGCACAGCTCCAGTGCCACACCCTCCCTGCCTACAGCTACCATCCGGTATAGTCATCCTTTCCAACGATCGAGCCATCAAGTGGATTAATCCACTGTTAGGGTCACCGTTCTCACAGTCTAACCATTTCACCTCTGAACATCTCACGCGTGAGCTTTTGTGAAACACCCCATATGCAAACCATAACTGCAAAAAAACATGTGTGGGGGAGCGTGTTTTAAAAGAATAAATAATGCTTAAAAGGAAGAATTCACAGAGCTCCCCACCCCGCCCCCCACTCTGTGGCCATACACTGGAGAATCTATTCTGCTTTTAATTGTGTAATTCTGTTGCGATGCAGAAGAAGGGTGTTCCACTCCGTTTGAATTCCAGGCGCTATTGTTTGTCAAATCCCTGTCTAGTTCATCCCGGATTATTAATGCCATCCTGGAAAACTGCTGATTGTGAGGCCCTTGAATCATTTTGTAGTATTTATATTGATTAACTAATCAATTAATTTGGGGCTGGGGATCGATTCCAGGATATTGTGCATGCTAAGAATGTGATCGACCACAGAGTTACACCCCCCAGATTCATAAATTTATTTTATTTTTTTGTTACAGGGGATTGAACTTCAGGGAGCTTTACCACTGAGCTGCATCACTAGTCTTTCCTTTTTTTTCTTTAAGACAGGGTCTTGCTAAGTTGCTAAGGGTCTTGCTAAATTGCTGAGGCTGGCCTCCAACTCGAGATCCTCCTGCTTCAGCCTCCCGAGCTGCTGGGATGACAGACATGGGCCACCACACCTGGCTCTCATGTGTCATTTTGGTTTTTCCTGTTCCGCATGAGATTTTTATTAATTGTGTTTCCCTTCGAATTCACTTTTTGTTTTTTCACTCTTGGCCTTTTTTCTCCTCATTCAACATGGACCATTCTTCAAACAAGCTGCCTTCTCTGCAATAAATCTTTGTTTCAGGAGACACTTTTTCTTCTGAGACCTTCGGAATTCATCTCATGCTGCTGCATATTTTCATAACACCTATGGTTCTGTTTTCTATTATTGATAATCCATTCATTTCATGTGTTCACCCACACACGTGCTGATTGATGTTTCAATGTGTGGAGCAGGAGGGCAGAAAGACAGGTACAGCTCATCCACCCCGTTTCCACAGTATGCTTCAGACTAGACCCTGACTCATTTTATTCCGAGACCCTTGCACATTCACGCCTGGGTATCAGCGGTTGACAAAACTTCCCAGGTGATTCTAACACACAGCCACGTTAGAATCCCTGCTTAGCTCCTGGCTTTTACCAACGCTTAATTGAAAGATAAAACATCCAACAAAGCTAGCAGTAGGGTACTCAATTTTGAGCAAAACACTAATAACCATGAAGATATTTATTAAATTCAAGTCTATTATGATTATATTTCCTTTTTTTTTTTCTTTGTACTGGGATTGAACTCAGGGGCACTCCACCACTGAGCCCCATCCCCAGCCCTATTTTGTATTTTATTTAGAGACAGGGTCTCCCTGAGTTGCTTAGCTCCTCACAGTTGCTGAGGCTGGCCTTGAACTCCTGATCCTCCTGCCTCAGCCTCCCGAGTGGCTGGGACGACAGGTGTGCACCACCACCCTGGGCCTCACGGAACAACATCTTTTTGAACTCTTGAAAGGTTGTTTCACTGCTTGAACTGGCAAGATTCTCACACTGCTAGAACCTGCTTGCTTATCTCCGTGTGGGACCTGGGCCCCTGCCAAGGCGACCCTCTGGCATCCCTGGGGGAGCAAAGGTTTCTCTCTCTCCCTAGGAGAGTTGTGAAACACTGTTTTCAAACACGGCTCTGAAGCTGGGTGACCCAGGTCTGAGTTTTCACTTCTGAAACTCAATAGCTCTGTGATCTTGAGCCTTGGGGAAGTGACTTAACCTTCCTTTTCTACTTTCCCTCGTGACTCTTCTGGAAGTTTTCACACAGGCAGAAAAGTTTGAAGGGGTATAGGGCTCCAGTGATCCAGATGATATAGTACTGTGGCCCAGCAGTGAAGCATCCAGATTCAAGAACCGTAACTATTTTGCTTTATTTGCTGCATGTATGTGCTAAATGCATGCATGTGCCTGTTATTATAAATACAGAATATATATTATATATGTGAATAAACATAATATATATGTATATATATAATTACATGTACCAGTAAGTTATAGGCATTAGGATACTTCTCCCCTAAATACTTTGCCCTGAATCACCTAAAGAGAAGAATGTTCTCCTACATAATCACAACACCAGAATCACACTTCAAAGTATCAAGCCAGGCATTGGGGTACACGCCTGTAATTCCAGCTACTCAGGAGGCTGAGGCAGGAGGATGGCAAGTTTGAGGCCAGCCTTAGTAACTTAGCAAGGCCCTAAGCAACTCAGTGAGACCCTGTCGCAAAATAAAAATTTAAAAAATAAGGAGGACTGGGAAAGTGGTCCAGTGGTTAAGCACCCCTGGGTTCAATCCCTGTTACCCAAAGGGAAAAAAAAAATGCAAGAAAAATTACAAATCTTCCTAATGCTGCCTCATGAGCAGTGCACATTCTTTAAAAAAAAACAAAAAACAAAAAACACAAAAAACAATTGTCACTTAAATATCTCTTCTGACTATTTTTATTTTTTTGGTCAGGATTCATTTTAGGATCACAAATGGCATTTGGGTCTCCTCTGTCTTCATTCCTTTTTTTAACTTTTTTTTAATTGGTGTTTGATAACTTGAGGTTAACAGTGGAATTCAGTAGGCCATATTTGCATATGCAAATGACATAACTTGATCCATCTCATTCCCCAGCCCTTTCCTTTTCCTCCTGTGCGCCCCCTCCTCCATCCCCACCGTCTGTCCGTTCTATGGGTCTTCCTACTATTTTCGTTTTGGCCCTAATTTCCTAGCAAAATTCCCTAGGTGTTTACAAAAGGCATGCATACTGTTGCAGAGGCCGAGCCGAGCGTCATGCAGAACAGTCACACGTTCAGGATTTGTGCGACAGCCCCCTCAGGGTTCCCTGATGCTGAACGGACATACCCATCTGTGCAATGGGCAGAGGGACCGCCCTGACCACAGAGCCACTACCTACTCGGCTGCGTCCGGGGGAGGGTTCTGTGCAGCGAATGAGGCCTCTTGTCCGGCTACCACCACCATCATGTCCCCTACGGCCCATCATGTCCCCTGCGCTCCAGGCCTCATTGACGCAGGGACTTCTCTGATGCTTTCCCTACCCTCCTGGGGCGCGTCCTGCCTGTCTCTGCGCGCGCTCTCTCTCTCTCTCTCTCTCTCTCTCTCTCTCTCTCTCTCTCTCTCTCTCTCTCTCTCTCTCCTTCCCGGTCCCTCCCTCCCCCCAGGAGAAGCTAATGGATGAACCTTTAGCCAAATGAACCTCTCAGCCCCTCCAAGAGCTGGATCCATCCTCCTGGGGACAACGTGTCTTTTCCAGAATCCTCATCTCCTAAGCCCAAGCCACAGGGAGGCGTTGACGGGTGCCATGTCCACGAGGGTGGGGGAGGGCGGGGTGTTGGTCACGGGGAAGAGCTGGTGGTGACCTTGGGGTTGAGCTGTTGGTACTGCAGTTGCTGCAGCCGGCGACGCTGGGGAAAGGAGATTGGCTGGCGAGGGAGGTGAGGGATGTGCTGCCAGAAGACTGGGCTCCCCGCCAGATGCTCATGACGGTGGCCTGGGGGGGACCAGAGCCCCCAGGAGCGTCAGCTCCCCGTCATCCCAAGGAAGTGTGGGGGCTGGAGGGAGTGGGGGATGGAGAGGGACTGACAGGTTGGAGAAATCCACTTGTTCCCCTAGGGTCTCCCTCCCTTCAGACCCAAGCTGTCTGGGAGAAACTGTGGCTGTCACCATAGCAACAGAAGCAGCTGATGCGTGATGCAGAGAACCTCGGTCAAGCTGGTGCCAGTATTTTTCCATCTGAATCTCATTTCTTCAGTGAAAAGAGAGACCCGAGGCCGGGGAATGGCCCGGGTGGGGAGGTCTGGGGGTTTGGAGGTGGGAGAGTTCTCAGATATTCGATTGAATGTCTGGGGAATGCAGATGGAAGAGAAGCCGCCATTTACTCGGGGAAGACATACTTTAAATATTCAAGCAGCTTCAGAACTCCCTTAAATCATACATGAATCCTGGAAGCAGCTTTCTCGTCGCCCTTGGAAAGGTCTAGAGCATTACATTCCGGAGAACCTCATGGAAGGGGCTGTCTCTGATCGTGAAAGACCATGAACTTGGGAGTCCGACTGACCTTGGAGTCCCAGTTCTGTGAACTTCCAGATGTGCCACTCTGCCTCCCCGCTCATAAGCCTCAGTTGAGTGGACACCCGATTCCCACCTGATCCCACATCCCCAGCCCCTTTTTATTTTTTATTTAGAGACAGGGTCTTGGTAAGTTGTTGAGGGCCTCACTAAGTTGCTGAGGCCGGCCTCCAACTTGCCATCCTCCTCCTTCAGCCTCCCGAGTTGCTGGGATGACAGATGTGCCCCGCGGTGCCGGGCCTAAAAATCATTGTTGACTTTATCAATGCTCCATAAACGTGCTCAATAAACGTTCACGGCTTTCATCACTGTGAACGTTTCTAGTATTCCTACGACAACTACTCTTGGTAGACGACGGCTATTCCTATTTCCACTCTTACTACGACCACTATCACTCCACCCCCTCCTCCCCATCCTCTCGCCAGCCATCGTGGGGATAACATAATTTGGTAAGTACACGGTGATGAATCACTGGCGACTCAGTCCTCTCCCACGAATATAGAGTGTGTCTGAATTTGCCAGTGCTTTTGGGAAGAACTGGGGTTCAAGACAGGGGGAGCATGGTTACTGCACTCGCAGACCTAGTGTTACACAAAGGTGTGACTCATCACACAGCAAGGGAATCCTACACGAGCTATAGGATTTTTCTTAGAAGAGTTTGGATCACGGATCTATTTCAAGGGTTTATTTTTTATTTAGAGACTCGGTCTCACCAAGTTGCTTAAGGCCTCGCTAAGTTGCTGAGGCTGGCCTTAAACTTGTGATCCTCCTGTCTCAGCCTCCCGAGCCCCCCCTGGAATTATACCCATGCGCCACGACACCCAGCCTTAATGTGTTTTCCCAAATGTGTCACTCAATTACCCCCTCTCTGTTTGTCCTGGGAACCACCCACACGGTTATTTATTTAAGGGCTTTTTTCTTTGTTTTGATTCCCTTTATGGTGATCAGATAAATGTGGCTTTAATGGAAATTATATAGTACTGTGAACAGTGTGGAGCTAGTAGCACTTGCATGAAAGAAGCTATAAAAATAAAAGTGATAGAAATAATTCAGTGTTGTTGAATTCTAGCTAATACCTTCTTCTGGTAGAAATTTCTGTGACTTTGCTAAAAAGGAAGGCTAGCACGTCTGAGAGAGGTGTTAAGGACCAAAATAAAAAAGACTAGCATCAAAATGTAACTTTCTTGATGAATCAGATGGGCTGAAAGACAGATGAAGGGAAATGACTTTCTTACGATATAGTTCAGTGATTTCTAATCTCCATATGTGGCCCCACCCAAAAATCATAATTATTTTTGTTTTTTGTTTTTGTGCTGGGGATTGAACCCAGGGATACTTAACCACGGAGCCACATCCCCAGCCCCTTTTAATTTTTTATTTAGAGACAGGGTCTTGCTAAGTTGTTTAGGGCCTCACTAAGTTGCTGAGGCTGGCCTTGAACTTGAGATCCTCCTGCTTCAGCCTCCCGATTTGCTGGGATGGCAGACGTGTCCCACCGTGTCTGGCCTAAAAAAATCATTGTTGACCTTGACTAAGAGTGAATAATAACTTCTGCTCAGAGAGGGAGGCGGGAGACAGGGCAAGAAACAGCCCCTAGAGCAGAGTGCAGCTCTTCTGCATCTGACAATGCAGGTGGCCAAGGAGACGGGTGAACCCTCCAGGTGGAAGGGGCCGCGTTAGTGAGTACAGTAGAGGCGGGTTTGGTGTGACCTTCAGGCCACTTCAAGTGGTTCAGAGTCCCTGAAACCAGAGAGGAAGAGAAGGTTCAGATCACAGGGCTTTCTTAGCTGCATAAAGAATTCCAATGTTATTCACCGCATGAAGCACAAAGCCCTGAAATGCACGGAGGGGCAGAATGACTAGAGAGTGAGCATACAAGCATTTTAGAAGCATTAGCTTCTTACGCACAGTCATGGACTCTTCCCAGCTCTGAGGTAGGGAATATCATGCCTGTTTGGGGATGATGGGAAAATGAGGCCTAAGGAGGGTCAATAGCTTGCCCAGATGCGGTGGAATCCTCCAAGAAGAACGGCCCAAAGAGATCACTCTGCAAACAGACTTTGCACTTCCTGCTGTTAAAAGAGGAGTCTGTTTTCCCACCCAGGGGCCTTGCCGATCTGCTTGGACCAAAGGGCTGCAGTGGAGGGATGATGGGGCACTTCCAAGTTGTTCTTTTGGAACCTTGTCATTGCCATGTCCAAGGCCAGGTCAGCCTTCTGCAGGATGAGCATGCATGTGGCAGGAAGTCCAGGTGTTCCAGCGGAGGCCAGACAGAGGACAGAGCCCAGCCAACATCAGCAGAGCCACCTCTCCAGCCTGTCATGATCACAGGTACATGGATGAGCCCCGGAGAGTCACCGTGCTGACCCAGAGACTCGTGAACAATCAATGGTGTTGTTTTAAGCCGTTAGTTTTTGCAGTGGATTTGGTGAGTAAAAGGTAACTGGAAAACCAAGGCAGGCCAGGGAGCCAGTTTGGGAGTTGGGATTTGTCCCAGATGGGCCCCGCCCCAAGGCGATTTACTCTCGTGGACATCACTTCTCAGCAAGACCCAGGTGTCCACTTGAGTCCAAGTCTTGTCTTGGGTGCGCTGTGCATAACTTTCCACCCAGGGTGAATCACACACGGGCTGCCCCATACCACCACCTTTCAAAGATTTGATGGAGGGATCAGCAGAGACAGAGCAGGAACAGGGAATGAGACATTGTCCCTGCAAGTCCATCTTGCACAAGTGCCACTCTCAATAGTTTGTTTTTTTTTTGAGGTTGTAGTTCTCAACCAGATGTGATTTTGACCCTCGGTGGTGGTGGTGCGCGGGGGGACATTAGCAATATCTGGAGACATTTTTTAACTGTTATAACTAGAGGGGTGATCTGGGCCACTCTGCCAGTAGAGGTCAGGTATAATGCTATATGAATGTCCTATAGGGCTCGGGGTGCCGCTGCAGGATGGGGTGCTCACCTACCCTGTGGAAGGCCAGGGTTTAATCCCCAGCACTGCAGAACAAAACAAGAAAATCCGACAGTGCCCAGGGTGGCCCACAGCAGAGAATGATCCAACCAGAATGTCAACAGTGAAGATGATGTCTAATCCCGACCATTGTTCTCCGGGATGGAAACATCTTTGAATCCCGGCTTTCAACCCTGGCTAACCTGTTAGGTTCCCTCAGGGAATTAAGAAATAATAATAATAATAATACCAACGCCCAGCTCAGATTCTCTAGGATTCTGATTCATTTGGGGTTTAACCATTTAAAAAAAAAAATCCCTCTAGGTGATTGTAATGCCCAACCAGGGTTGAAAAACTACTTTAGGAAAATGATTTTGAAGTTGAGTCTTACAATGATGGTAGCAAAATGATGGTTTAAAAAAAAAAAATGTGGGTCCCTGGTCCTCATTGGAATGGCTTCCCCACACCAAGTCCTGTTCGGCTGGCCTCAGGGTGTGAAATCGCACCCTCTCCAGGGGCGATTTCAGCTGGTCAGGGGCTTACTTCCCCCGGCTTCTTTCTGTCTCTCTTTACCCCGGTCCTCCACCACCATGGCCCCCATCACCTTCTCTGAAATGTTCTCTCTGACGTGCAGGTGCCGAAGCACAATAAGAGGGGGAAGAAGAGAAGTTGGTTGGGTTACACAGAGAGGAAGGAAGGGAAGGGAGGGGAGGGGAGTAGGAAGGACAGTGGAATGAATGGGACACCACTCTCCTATGTTCACACGTGGATCCACGACCAGTTAACTCCACACCCTGTACAACCGCAGAATGGGATGCCAATTAGGATAAGTTATACTCTGTGTATGGATATGATGTCAAAATACACTCTGCTGTCATGTATAATGTAAATCTAAAAAGAACAAACATGATTTTTTTTTAAAAAAAAGAAAAAGAGGCGCAGTGGCGAACGCCTATCATCCCAGCGGCTCCGGAGGCTGAGGCAGGAGGATCGCGAGTTCAAAGCCAGCCTCAGCAACAGTGAGGCACTAAGCAACCCAGGGAGACCCTGTCTCTAAATAAAATCCAAAACAGGGTTGGGGATGTGACTCAGTGGTCAAGTGCCCTTGAGTTCAATCCCTGGTACCAAAAAAAAAAAAAAAGAAAGAAAGAAAGAAAGGATGCGGCTCATGGATTTCCATAAGACCTTTAGTTTTCAGTATTCCCTGGAGGCTTTTTCTGGAGAGTTGACGACGAATGGCAGGGCACTCTGTATACAAGTCTTCTGACATCTCCTGTCCTTCATTTACTCTTCTGTTTCCTAAAGGGTTATAAAGCTCTGCAGATTTGGGGTGGTCAAACCCTGCACATCTCGAAGAAAGAAATTGCCCTTGACCTGTTCCTGGGAGATAACCTCTGAGCCACTGTAATATCCTATGTGATAAGAGAGTTCCATACACCTGGAGCCTGGGGCCATACCAGATAATTTATGCTAAAAATGTGATTTATGGTGGGGACCTTGGGCCATGCTGGAGGGACTGCAGGCTGGGTAACTGACCCCCAGTAAAAGCCGTCAGTACTAAGGCTCAAGTGAGCTTCCTGATGGCCTTCTTACTCTGTCTGTGTGTGTTGTCATATGTCATTGCTGGAAAAATTAAGCACTGTCTCTGACCCTCCTTGGAGGTTATAACTGTAACAAGGATACACTTGATGCTTTGACTATATCCCCTGTGGCCTTGAAACTTATGGTTTTTTTTTCTTCTTTTTCTCAAACTTCTTTTCAAACGTCTCCTCCCTAACCTTCCTGATCTCTCCTCCCTAATCTCATTTTTCTCTGAATCACCTCTGTAAAAGCCCCCTGTTCCTGCTGATGGGCAGAATCACAGCCTTTGGGACAGGAGTCTCCTGTGTTTCTCCTTGGCTAGCAAAGCAATAAGCCTGCTCTTTCCTTTTTCTGAAGACCTTGTCTCTGTTACTGGATTGGCATCAAGGACGAGGACGGAGCTTTCGGTTACATAACTGGAATCTTGCGCCTGGACTCTGCCTTGTGCATCTTTGTCCTTTGCTGGTTTTCATCTGTGTCTTAAACTGTTAATAAACTGTTAACTATGAATACAGTAGTTCTGTGAGTCCTCCTAGCACGTCGTCCAAACTTAGGGTTTCTTGGGGACTCTCTGACACATCTTCCCACTCCCTGCTTTCTCTTCACTTCTCGGGCATCAACGAAAAGATTCCTTCTGCTGTTCTGACCATACTCATTTATGATCTTACGCAATCTTCTAAGAAACTCATCAAGAAATTTATTTCACATAAATTCAGTCTCTCCGTGGAAGCGATGCTTGGGAGAAATTTTCTCCAGCCGATTAGGGTACTTTTGCAAACACTCCTGTGTAAGCATGCGCACAACTGTCACGTACTCACCCAAACCAGACTAGGATACTGCTAGCATCTAGGAACCACCTGCACATATCATAAGGCCATTGAGCCTGGAATAAGAACTGGCAGCCTACTGTGCTTAGCCTCCTGCAGGTAAGGAGCACATCCTTTACCTGATGCCTCAGACTGCAAATGGCCCCATGGATTCCAGCAGATGGAAGTATGTTAATTTTCTTAAGTCCTTAGCTTCTTGGATTCTTTCCAACTTTTTTGCTCTTCCAAGTGATGCACCAATAACGATTCTTGCAAATGAATCATTAGGCTGTTCTATAATGATTATCTGAAGATACACGTCTACACATGGAATCTCTGAATTCAAGAGTACAGGTGTCTTAAAGATCTTTGATAGATGATACCTTTGGGGAACTATATCAATTAAAAACTCCATTGGTTTTGCATACACATGCATTTTCCTGTTTCCTTGCCAACACCGAACATTAATTACTTGTTCTACTAACAAATAAATTGCTCCATCTAACTGCACGATTAGAAAAATCACAGTGCATTGATATTACAGAATATTTTGCTATAAAGAATTAGGGAAGTTTCTGGAATATAAAAGGTAGAGAGATGCAAAAAGTTGATTTTCAACAGAATGAACAGAAAACTGACAAAGTCCAGGTGAACAAGCAAGAGGCATTTAGAGAAAAACAGGAATGTTGGTGTCCGGGTAATGCTTTGAAGTGTCAATCAAAGAAATTCAAATACAGAGGTTTCAAGCAATGGACAGGCAGTCTCTCTCCTGTGGCCCAAGAAGAGACAAGGGAATGAGGAATGGGTAGAAAGTAAGGCCAAAAATCCTAAAAATCATAGCCATATGCCCCCCCATTCCAAGGGACATGCTGACTTCCTGGAAGGAAAGATGCCCCTTGCCTGCAGCAGCCCCAGGATAGGTTAAAAAAGTCTTGTCCTATGAAAGATTTGAAAAAAAAAAAAAAACAGTGAGGGCCTTAGCTCCCAGATGGCAGGAAAGCTGTCGGTGGATCTTAACCCACCCACGGCGCTTGCCATGTCTTGCCATGTCTTGCCACAGAAGCAATCAGGCGACAATAAGAAAAACCTAAAGACGTCCGTCCAGGACCTGTGCCGCAGGTGGAGCCCAGTGCGCATGCGCCATCCTCCCACGCTTGGCCAAGGGCGAAGGGGTAGGGAAGGGTGGGGGCAGCGCAGCCCTGCGAGGGGCGTCCAGCGCCCGGGCTGAGGACGGAAACCAGCTGCCCGCAGCCCAGAGGGCAGCTCAGAGGCTCGGTTTAGCACTTTTCCCTCCCCCTCCCCCCCCCCTTTTTTTTTGTTGCTTGCCCCACCCAAGCCCCAATGGAAAAACTGACCCAACAGAAACTCAGCAAGCGCACCCAATTTCTGTTATTTCAGTGAGTCAATGCATATTTTCTACCGACGACGGCGCTGAAAATAGAGTTTTAAAATAATAGCGAACGGCAGAAAGCCTACCCCAAGCATAAAAAAGCTAAAATGACCATAAATAGAGGAAGACAAAGCCATGCAAAACAGGGCCCATGTCAGATTCTGGAAAAATTAAAGGTGGAAAATATAAGAGATTTAAAGCAGACCTCGTGGATGATTTTCAATCAATGTAGGTGGAGTGAGTTGCTTTTTTTTTTTTTTTTTTTTTTAAACAAAGAAGCCATTTAAATAGAAAGACTTCAAGATTGCACCCAGGACCTGTAAAAATCTGGCCTTGGATTGAAAGCAAAAAGCTGCTTATTATATTTCTTAGGGAGATTGAAATTAAAGGTGCAGATAAAGACATCGCAGGGAAAGGTTAATACAGAGAAAGCGGGGTTCATGGTTTTCAGATGAGATGGAATCGAATCCAAGGTTCCGGGAGGCCACCAAGACCCATGGGGACGTTTTCTAAATGACACGGGGACATGCCTTCTAAAGGGAGGTTAAAACTTCAGAGATAGGTGTGCAGACTGAGATGGATCAAAACCCATCCAAGCGCCTTCCCCGGGCACAAAACCGAGCCCTGACACACCTTCCCAGGCCCAGGGGATGTGGGAATGAGACATAAAGACTTGGAGGGGCTGATGTATATTTAGTAAGGTGCCCTTGGTAGTTTAGGATCAAATGTTATTCACTGAATATAGAGGATATATCTTTTATGGTCTTGTGGGTTTTTTTTACAGGGTGATCTGTCAGGCTGCAAAGAAAACCTTAACAAGATTCAAAGAGTAGAAATAGCACAGAGTATTTTCTAATCGCAGTTCAAAAAACCCAGAAATGTGTAACCTGGTCAGGGGGCCATCAGGGGAGAGAGGGAGGGGCGGAAGGAAGGGGGAAGAAGAGGGTGAGAATTAAACCCCCAATTCTTTTTTTGGGGGGTGGGTGGGAACTGGATATTGAACTCAGAGGCACTCAACCACTGAGCCACGTCCCCAGCCCTATTTTGTATTTCAGAGGACATGAAAAAGACTTGTCACCTTGCAAAACTTTGTGCAATTAAATGTGAACACCTGAAGGAAATAGACGATTTTTCTAAGAAAAAGCAAATAACAACAAAAATAATCAGCCTTACACATCTTAAATAAAATAGGAAGCAGGAGCAAAATTGAAATTTTTTTTTTTAAAGAGAGAGAGAGGGGGGAGAGAGAGAGAGAGAGAGAGAGAGAGAGAGAGAGAGAGAGAGAATTTTTTTTAATATTTATTTTTTAGTTCTCAGCGGACACAACATCTTTGTTGGTATGTGGTGCTGAGGATCGAACCTGGGCCACACACATGCCAGGCGAGTGCCCTACCGCTTGAGCCACATCCCCAGCCCCCAAAATTGAAAATTTTACCCCAAGTCTCCATCTAAAACCTACCAGCCCCAGGAGGTGGAGAAATTCTTCCAAATAATTAAGAAATAAGTGACCCTGTTTCAATATCAATTCCATTGGAGCACAGAGAAGTAAAAGATGTTCATTTTTTTTCTATGTGTGAAAAACACACCTAAACCCAGAAATCATGTAATTTAACAAACATGATTATAAGAATCAGTGTGACCCTGTCTCTAAATAAAAATATATAGGGCTGGGGTTGTATCTCAGTGGTAGAGCACTTGCCTAGCATGTGCAAGGCCCTGGGTTTGATCCCCAGCACCACATAAAACTAAATAAACAAAATAAATATATATATATTAAAAAGGGTTGGGGATGGAGCTCAGTGGTTAAGCACCCCTGGGTTCAATTCTTGGTGCAAAAAAAAAAAAAAAGTTATTATCAAGAAAATCTAATATAGTTCAGGAATGGAAAAAAAAATGCTTAGCATTAGGTAATATGTTAGAAAGCATTGTGGACCATATATCTCAGTTTAAAAAATAAATTTCAATTTTACTAGCAGAGAATGGTCAAAACATTCTCTTATGGCTTTCTAAAGAGCCACCGTATTTATGGCTAAACTTCCCTTTTTATTTCCAAAATTTGAAATATGTACTGTATTCTCCTTGAAGGGAAAAAAAAAATCTCTCTAGAGATTTTTTGTTTTATTGATCCTATCAAAGACCCAGATCATGGTTTTATTTAACACTTGTTTTTGGTTTAATTCGGTAGCGTCTATATCATGACTGATTTGATTTACCTGCTATTTTGGTCCATTAGGTTATTTTTTTCAAACCTCTTTTCTGAGAAACGTGTTTCATCCCTTTTCATTCTTTCTTAATAAAAACATTTGAAATAATGTTTCAAGTGGATTTGTCTTTTGATTACAGGGTTGTCTACTTCCCATCAGTTTTGAAAGGTATTTGTTCTTTTTGTTATTTTATACATAAACAGAAATTGTGGGTTTAATTTCCTCTTTTCCTCAAATCATTTTATATGGATGGTTATCATTTTATAACATTTTAAAATGTTCTAAACATGTTAAATTTTTTGCTAACCTGGTGTTATTACTTATTTACAAGGTTTTTTTTATTGGGGGGGGGGTGCAGGGGGATTGAACTCAGGGGCACTCAACCCCTGAGCCCCATCCCCAGCCCTGTTTTGTATTTTAGTTAGAGACAGGGTCTCACTGAGTTGCTTAGTGCCTCGATGTTGCTAAGGCTGGCTTTGAACTCGAGATCCTCCTGCCTCAGCCTCCCAAGTTTCTGGGATTACAGGCGTGTGCCACCGTGCTTGACTTATTTATAAGTTGTTTTTATTAAACACTTTGACTTCTATAATTTCTGCCTTTGGAAGTCATTTAGGTTTTATTTGGCCTGACACACATTTCTGTTTTCTGTTTTTGTTTTTTGGTACCAGTGACTGAACCCAGGGTCACTTTACCATTGAGCCACACCTTCAGCCTTTTTATTTTTTTGAGACAGATTCACCCTAAATTGCTTAGGGCCTTGCTAAGTTGCTGAGGCTGGTCTTGAACTTGTTATCCTCCTGCCTCAGCCTCCCAGGTTTCTGGAATTACAGGCACAAACCACCTTACCCTACTACATTGCTATTTTAAAATACATGTTCTATATATGTTTGAAAAGCATTTGTATTTCTTGATATGTATGTATTGCTGATTCCATTATTTAAATCCTGATGTTTTTGTATGTTGTTCTATCAGGAGGAGAATGGTTTGTGAATCTCTTACTCAGTTTTATTCTTGTCAACATTTTTCATATTTCTATGGAAACAATTACTTTGAAACTCCTTGATCTTTGTTTCAGCCTTGCTTTAAATTTGAGGCAATAAATTCAACTGT